AATGCATTTGGGAGGCACAATCACATGGGGGTTTGGAGAAAAAGTATATAAGGTGGGCAGTTTCTGAGAGAGGACAATAGATCACAAAATAAAAAGTCTTCCTATCCCAAATCTGACAACTTGGGGAACCAACAAGCATTCCTATGAAGTCATCATCCTTTAATTTTTGTTTGTTCAGAAGCTTCGCAAACTGTTTTGCAGAAAGTACTTCCGGAAGAGGTTTAGGGGGTGCGCAATTAAAAGAGGTAAGCCCAATCGTCACTGTGTTCGATGGCCAGTCGATGTGAGGATTGTGCTTGTTTAACCAATCTTTCCCCAGAATAACGTCGTAAGCTAAATTCGGTACCACGGTAAAGGCGAAACTATCGTGGAACACCATTTGCCCAATGGTCAGTTCCAGTTCTCTTGTTCTCTTGCCGGCAACTATCGTCTTGTCAGCAAGCCTAATCTTAAAATTTTGTTCTGTCAGTGCGCCCGGGTCTGACAATGCTGGATGATCTGCGCGAATGAAACTCGGAGATGCACCAGAATCAATAAGAAATCTTGATTTCTTCCCGTCTACTTCACCGTCGCAAACGAGAAGACCTGTTGTGTCGGTGCGATCCTCAAGGTGGTGAATCTCGAGGCGCAAGTTGGGGGTGTCGATCAAGTCTACCGTGAGTCCGTTGTTTTTAACTGTTGTTCTTGTGTCCGTGTTTGAGTGATGGCTCCTGGTTGCTTCTGTCACTTTAGATTTGACTGAAGCAGACAGTCGGTTCCTTTTCATCGTCATCGTCGTCGGCTTGGACTGCTGCGTTAAGTCTCTGGGATGAGCCTCCGGTTGTGACGGTGTTAGCATTCCCTCTGCAAGCTTTGAGTACCGGGCAGTTGGCAATGACGTGGTCCTTTCCTTTGCAGTAGAAGCACCAGCCCTTTTCTCGGTACGTCTGTTTTTCTTCTGGTGTGAGGGTGCGAAACTTCTGTTGACCGCGAAAAGGCTGTTGCTGGCTGCGAAACGACTGGACGTTGTTGAGATCCATGGGTGTGGGACTGTCGTTGGCATGAGGAAATGTATTGGCAAGGCCTGGGGACGTATTCTGACACGATTCTTGGTGAGTGGATCTGCGTGGTGACTGTTGTTGAGGGAAAGTATTGTTAACTGGGTGGTAGGACTTTCTTGTGCGGCGGAATTGAATGTCATCCAGTTTCTCGGCCTTGTGTTGAAGCTTTTCAAGGTCGTCGACAATAGGGTAGAGATCTGGGATTGTCTGTAAGTTGGGCTTCAATCCATTAAGATATTTGATGCACAAGTGTTCATCAGGATATTCAACACTGGCAGCTTTGATGGCAGACACAAGTTGATTAAATTCCGACAAATAAATGAGGGCCGAACGTGTCTGTCGAAGTTCCTCCATCGCTTCAACAGCTTGTGCAAGAGTCAACGACGAACCAAAAGTATCGAGGATCCATTTGCTGTAGTCTTCCCAAGTCATGAGTTCACGTCTACGTGGTGACAGGCAGCGCCATGCGGTACGAGCTTGGTCAGCGAGTCCGGAGGAAACAAACTGAACATATGTTGGCTGACCAATGTACGAGACATCCGCAGGCTCGGATGCGAAATTGTAGAGTTTGCATGTCTCAAGGGAGCGCTCGAGGTAGTCATCAAGGTAATTCTGTAGTTTGTGTGCAGGCATGTGTTTAATGTTGCCAGTGAATTCAATCGGTTTTATAGAAGGCATCTTGAAATCCGGCACACGAGTCGTTGGTGAGATGGCTGCCAGGGCAGTTGTAGGAGCAGGTGCAGTCAGGATTGTTTGGACTTCGTTTTGGAGGACGTTGTGGTCAGTAGTGAGATTTTGGACTGCCTGACGCAGTGTGTCGATCATTGCGTGGATGTTCGCAATTGCGTGATCGATGGAGACTTCAGGTGTAGAAGCAGACATTTCGAGGATCGAGGCAGTAGGATCTTGGATGAACGGCGAAACGATCCGGTGCTACCAGATGATACGGAATCGGACTGATCGCAGGCGCAACCTTGCCAGCAATAAACTTTTGTTCTTAGGTTTTCTTCCCTTCCTCTCTCCAAAATACAAACTCCGCGATTTTATATCGTTGAAAAGAGAAAGTTCTGGAAAGCCAAGAAACATATCTTCATAAAATAATAAAGAATTTCAAAATCAACTGTGGTTAAGCAAACAAATAAAATAAAATAAAATAAAATCATGAGAATTCAGAGAGAAAAACAGGGAATTGAGGTCGTTCCCTAACAAGTCACATGGGCAGATGGCCGAGTGGTCCAAGGCGCCAGCTTCAGGTGCTGGTCTCGCAAGAGGCGTGGGTTCGAACCCCACTCTGCTCAACGCTTTTGCCGATTTTTACGGATTGAATTTGTCACTTTATTCTCAAATACTTCTTTCGCAATTCAAGCATCTCAGACTGAGATGCACAGTCCGAAATCGAATTCAACAAACGAGTCACAATCGCCTTGTCTTGTTTGTCCAGAAACATTGAGGTCAACGAAAACCTGTCAACATTCGCCAGTGCGAGCAAAACGGAATGCAAAAGTTGCTTGCTTTCGTTCCTGCGGAAACGATATTAAGAAAGAAGATGCCCCAAATAACGAACTCAATGTAATAGTCATTCAGCAGGCGAAGAATAGCACACAGATGTTCGTACTCCATAGATGATTTGAACAGGCGCTTGTAAGAAGAAGGTTCAATCGACTTCCGGCGGTTTTTGAGGTTTATGAAGTTCTCAGTTTGCCATTTGATACCGCAAATACCTTGAACAGTGAATAGAGGCTCCTTGGATCGGTTTTGCGCAGCTTCCATTCTAATTCAAACTCAATAAAATTTGCTGGTGGTTTTGCGGGTTGTTCACTGGAACTGGCTCCAGTGCCAAGTTCTTTAATGATATCCGCATCTGGTGTAGAGTTTTCAGGAATTTCCTCAATTAACAGTTTGGGCTTTTGTTTCTCTTCAACATTTGCTGCGATGTGCACAGCTTTGTCAGAAACATTTCCCACTGACGTATCCTTGAGAACGAACATAGACTTTTGTGCTCTTTCGGAACCACGCGCTAATGTTCGGTCTGCCTGGGACTCATTCGGAACGGAATTGACGTATGATTCTGTCAAATTTTTATCAAACCAGTTGAAACCAGAAATTACGTTGAAACTAGAAATTATCATACCTCTTGCAACGGGGATTGTTCTGAGTCCTCGGATACTCGAAGGTTCAACATCTACAGCTGAATGCTGTGAAAGTTCAAGGAACAGTGACTTAGACTCTTTCCCGATGGGTGGAGTATACAGGGCTGCGTCACCAACTTCAACAATTTCAACTCGTTTTCGCAACGGTTCTTTCTTTTCAATTACAGTGTCAGTTTTTCGGGATTCACGAACTGTCTTAGATTCAGAAATTCTGGCAGCAAGCTTGAGTAGCTCTTGCTTCACAACCGCATTCGTAGGCTCAAGAACAAGCGCTTTGTCGAAATCTGGAGCCAAAAAGTCAGTGGTTGGCACCGATTATAAGTTTGCGACCTTCTTTCGCACTTTGTAAATCCTTGCCAATGGCAGCCTTGGCCACTCCGCGTCGCCAAAGAGCTTTGACATTTTTTGCGTCAATGTCGAGAACTCTAGAGCAATCATCGACAGCTTGCTCGTAGTTTTGCAGCTTCAGATAGGTCATTGCCCTAAATCAGTTGCATTAAACAGGATACTAAGCAAAGCAAGGAGCGAAATAGAACCTGTTTCCGTAGATGACAGCGGAATTTTTTAGGTCGTTGGGAAGCAGTGACAGGGCTTTCGAGTAGCTTCGCTCGGCCTTGTCGAATAAGTTCATTTTGAAGTAGGCATTGCCCTTTTCCTTGAGGACTAGAGCATCCTCGAGGGACGTTTTGCTCGTGGAATCGCTGGGTGTTCCTCTGATGGCTGCCTTGATAGGGACGGATGCCTGTGCGGGCGCTGCGACCTTGATGTTCTTCTCCCACTGGAGAAGCTCCTGCATCTGACGCGCGGCCTCCTCCGCGTTGCGCCGCACCTGCAGAGCCGCTTCCATTTTCGCGATTTGATTTGCAAGATCGCAACTGAACTGTCGAATTCAGGGCATATACGTTATAATCCAACTTAACAATCAATTCATGTGTAAATTCATATGTCCGTGAATTCTTCTGTGTGTATGCGCTGCGCATATTCTTTCCTTGAATAAGAAGACAAAGACGCGATGGAGCCAGAACCGGCGGACCTGCTCGATGTGGATGTGCCCGCGTTCGCCACCGCCTACGCCGCACCGCATGCGCGTGTTTCGCGTCTGGAGGCTCTCGCTGCCCGCGCCTCTGCTGCCATTGCCGTCCCCGCCCTACGTGCAGCAGTAGACTGTCTGCGCGCTAACTCCCTCGATGTACAGCGCCACGCCACCGTCCTCGCTAGGCTCGCTGTCTTAGATCCGGCCTTTGTCGCCGCTGATGCTGAGCGCGCCGTTCGCTGGGCTGAGACCGCTGCCGCCCAGGGTCGCTCAATTCGCGACTCGCTCGACGCGCAGCTAGCGACCTACAAGGCCAACCTCATCAAGGAGTCCATCCGTATGGCGCATTGTGATCTTGCAGAGCATTACTATAAGTGCGGTGATCTCGCATCCGCTATGAAGTGCTTTCTGAAGTGCCGTGACTTTTGCTCCACTCCTAAACATGTTCTTGATATGTGCCTCAGCGTGCTCAAGGTATCCCGCATCGTCACCGCTTTTCGCCACCGCTTTTCGCAGCACTTTCACAACAATACTGAACTCTTCTAACAGGTGACTGTCGAACAGCAGAACTTTTCGCCCATTCAGGCATACGTGCTGAAGGCTGAGTCTCTCCCTGATCCTACCCTACCAATCTCGTCAACGACCGCTTCTCAAACATCTTCCGCATCAAATGCTTCTGACTCTGCACGGCAGTTGATGCTTTCAAAGTTAAAAGTGTACAGTGCACTCTCCCATCTGGATAGTGCAAAATACAAGGCCGCAGCGAAATCCTTACTGAATATCACTGTCCCGGCCGATGTTCTTGGAACTTGGAACGAGGTGCTAAATGTTTGCAGTCCCATAACTTTTTGTTAAAAACTCGCCCTTTCGGGTAGATCATGTCACCGTCGGATGTAGCGGCAATACTCACTCTCTTGACCATTGCAACACACTCTCGCACCGCCATCAAGTCTGCGCTCCTTGATAATGCTATTCTCAAGTCTTATCTGGATACGGCAGATCCGCGTTTGTTGCATGATGTCCTTCTGGGATTTTACTCTGCGCGTTATGGCGACTGCCTCGCCGCGCTCGATGCCATGCGGCCGTTGTTTGCAATCGACTTGTATCTCATGAAGCACGTGGAAGCCTTGATTGCGCTTATCAGAAGGAACGCTATTGTTCAGTATGTCGTTCCGTTTGATGTTGTGGATTTGCACAAGATGGCCCGCGCATTTAATGAAACGAGCGTGAAGTTGGTTGAATGCGAATTGGTCGGCCTAATTTCAGAAGGGGCCATTGAAGGCAGAATTGATTCTCAGAACAAGGTAAGGTTTGCAATCGCCGTACGTGTCTGAAATTCTTTCCTGTTGATTCTTTTCTTGTTTTTACTTCTCAGGTTCTTCAAATCACAAAACAAGACCAACGTCGGGTTTTGTATCGAAGTGCGTTGAAGATGGGGCGCGCATACGCCGCACAAGCTGACTTCCTCGTTCTGCGTGCCAGCATGGTCAAGCAAGACATGTTCATCGACGCGCCGCACTCGGACGACCATCGTGGCAGTGGTGATGGTGGTCCGTGGCATTCGGTAGATGACGATTTCCGTGAAGATCATCGGATGGACAACGTCATTGGCGGCTCTGATCGGAAGGGCGTGTTTCAACGTTTTGGTCTTGGATTCACTTAATAAAGTTGTTTTTGTGAAGAACTTTGTATTTGCTAAGTGGTTTCGTCGCCAGTTACATCAAAACACGCCATCCTCCACCGTCACGAAAAACTTAATGTATCCCAGAATGGTAAAATATATAAGCAGTCCGCCAGTGAGGGAGAGATACATGGCGGTAGAAGTTATCTAGTCCGTTTTGTACTTCCTTAGGGCACCGTCGAAACAAAGGAACAAAAGCTCTTCCTCAACTTACCAGCCCTGAATGCGCCAGCACAAATGGAATTCCTTTGACGACGCAGGAGTTTAGAGCACGGAAAAATCATAAATAAAAACACACCAAAGCCCGAAACGACAAACACACTCGTCAAAAAGTAGCCAATTTCCAATATTCCCCTGAAAGTTATGGTGAGTTCCAGGCGAACTCACGTTGAGTGAATGCAACAAAGAAAGGCAACGCCACCTGCCGCTGTCAGAAAAATAGTCGTTATGACCGGCTATGCGCTTGCAAAGCCAGTTCGGCAAAGGGGCCAGGACGTATGTAGCGACAACGAGTAGCGGAAGCCAGTTGCTTGTTGATCGGTGCGAGATGCTTCAGCGAGTAGAGCAGCAACAACACCACACCTGAATAGTGCAGATGATAGGATTATCAGCAGAATGCCGACACTGAGGCTAAAGGCAAGGGCGACGATGGCACCCATCGGATTGGAGGGCGACGACATTTTCGGAGTGTTTATTTCAACATCAAACTCAAAGGCCCTTCTCAGCAACATGTGCTTCGTACATTTCAAGAGCGTTCGACACAGCGTCCCGCTTCAGTGCGTCGGGGTCGATCCCGCGCTGGCGCAGCGAGTGCGTTTCAACAAGCTTGTCGACTTCCGCGGCCGCAAACCCAGCCAGAAGGTCCTTGAACAGAGAGTGCTTCACGGGCTTGCCATCCTGAGTCGATTCATGGCTCTCGAGCAAGCGCATTGCTTGTAATGGAGTTTGCCCATTTAGGTGGTTTGGCTCAGCCAGCTAGCTAACCTTCAAAACCAGCAGCGCCAGCAAGGACCTCGTGGGTTAAGCTACCATGCTTTCCCTGGCAGATGGTGAGTCACGGTGGATGTTAGTTAAAGTGGTCCATCAATGGCGACAGAACGAGGGGCGATCATGGCGAACAGGCACATGAGCGGCAAAGAATGTCGAGGGAGGTGCATACGTTCTCCTGGTACACCAGACGGTGGCTCTCGGCGTGCTTTGAGTGGTGGTGGCCCATGTTTCAGTGTTTATTTTTGTAACTTTTAATTCTTCCACGTGGAGATGTCGATGGTTCGAGAATACAGGATCGCATGAACCCGTACGGCTAACATTCTACAACGAGCGTTCGCGCACGACGATAGACGGCGGAAACGAACTTGCCACGCCCTTTAGCCTGGTCTTGCATGCTTCGCATTTCTGCCGGTATCATGGGCTCGTACAAAACAGGGCCGACAC